CCAAAGATTGTTGTGTACACTATGATTTTATATATAATTAACTTTAATGTGTGATCGGAATAAAACGTGATCATAAACGAATGATTTCTCCAATCAATTGAATGGCGGCTTGGACCCGGAAACGGTATACATACGTCACAAACACGTCACCGCTTAACAAGCGGATAGTGCGTCTGGAATAAAAGATAAGAAATGCACTGTCACTGCATTCTCCCCCTTTTTGGATTCCTGATCAAGTTATGTCCGATTTATTAATGCAGTGAATCATCTCATCTTCATTGAGCAGGTGTAATATTCATAAATATTAAATATTCAAATTCGTATTTTCACCGAGGTGCCGCTGTTTGGGGTCGAATGACCTGCAGGCTGCATTTTGCTCACGGGGAAATAAAAAGAAATAATGAATAAAAAGAGTGAGGCTATGGTCAAATAAATAAATTAAGTGCGACTGCTGAAAGTGCAAGCAGCTAGGGACACCAGCATTCTCCCCGTCCTCCCGATTAGCCAATTCGGGCCTGATGCTTATAATTGGTGGGTGCAACTAAATTTTGGTTGATGAGCCTACATTTTTAAAAGTTAGGAGCACTGGTGCTACCAAGCGAAAAGGTCAATTTCGAGCCCTAGGGGGCGTGCGAGAGATCTGCAGAGTGGATGATCAACATCAACAGCCTGAGGGATCAAGACATTTGTGCTGCCCAAACCACAGGAGAGGGACAATTCTCCAGCAGGATAGCGCTCCTGCTCATACTTCAGCCTCCACATCAATGCTCCTGAAAGCAAAGACGGTCAAGCTGCTCCAGGATTGGCCAGCCCAGTCACCAGAAATGAACATTATTGAGCAGGGTCGGAGTGGGACTCCTTTTTAGCTCTGGAGTTTCAAGGCTTAGACCGGCCCACCTCAGTCGACGACTGACTATATTAAAATTAGGTCATTTCCAATTCAGTTTCAAATGACACTAACATGTCTTTCTCAAGGACACAGCTGCTTTAGAACTTCCAGATATCCAGTCCTTATTAACAGTCGTCACACAAAAAAAATATGTATTCCTACATAAGTAACCCAAACAGTATTTTATGTCTTAACACTGAAAAAAAAACATATTATACTCTGGTGAGGCTCGAACTCGGGTCGGCTGCATCAATGCGTAACGTGCTAACCACTAGACCACGATGGCGCTGTTAAGCACTGCAACGTTTTTATGTCTACTCTTTTTTTCTCCCCATTTTAGATTTCTGATCAAGTTATGTTAAGATTGAAAGTTAAGATTTATTAATATAGTAAATCATCTGATTTTCATTGAGCAGGTGTAATATTCACTAATATTAATTAATATTCATTAAGGTGCTGCTGTTTGGGGTGGAAGGGGGAGCAGCCCGCAGGTTAATGATGATCATCATTAACCTGCGGGCTGCATTTAGCTCACGGAGCTGCGAGAAAATAAATAAAAAGAGCAGAGCTGCGGCAAAATAATGATTAAAAAGAGTGAGGATATGGTCAAATAAACAAATAAATGAAAAAAGTGTGACTGCTAAAAGTGCAAGCAGCCCACGCGGCCAAAAAACAGACCAGCCGACCGGGAGTTCCCCCGATTGGCCAATCCGGGCCTGTTATTGAGCATGTCTGGGGTGATGAAGAGGGAGGTGATGAAGATGAACACAAAGAGTCTTGATGAACTCTGGGAGTCCTGCAGGAAGGCTTTCTTCTTCATTCCAGATGACTTTATTAATCAGTGATGTGAGTCATGTCAGAGATGTATGGATGCAGTCCTCCAAGCTCATGATGGAGTCAGACACAATATTCATTCTGTCTCCACTGCAGCAGGACTTTATATTCTATACTGGACATTATTTCTGTTCAGTGATGAGACTTTAGTCTAAGCAGAGTCAGACCGCACTGTCCTGATGACATCATTAAAGGCATGATCATATTTATTGAGCTCAAATAAGCGTCATCTAGAGCAGGGGTTCCCAAACTTTTCAGCACGCGACCCCTAAAATAACAATGCCAGTGACTCGCGACCCCCAATATCCTCTGAGGTGGTTATAAATACAGAAAACTTGCATGCAATGGTGCACACACAAACCAATAGACCAAAGTCTATTCTTCGTTTAATTTTTTGTTATGTATGTCAGTGCTGTAAATGGGCCAGAAAGTTTAACCTGGTGTTATAAAATCAATCTGCTGCATCTGACGCTATTGCTGTCTTTAATATAATGTAATTACCCCTGGGGTCGCAGTCCAATAGAACTAGTAAATAAGCTGCTATAGTAACTATAAACGACTGTTTTTTTCTCTTCAGTTGGTTATGGATAAAGTATGGTAATTCTTATGGTCTAATAATAATAATAATAAGTAGATTTTTGGAAATCACCAGGCGACCCCCCCCTTCATTGTTCCGCGACCCCTCAAGGGGTCCCGACCCCCACTTTGAGAACCACTGATCTAGAGGCCTTTGCCTTTCATATAGGACACTTCTGATACCAAATGATCAACTAGAAGTCCAGTTATTATGTGTTGTTCCTAAAACTTGGGCGACAAGACTTTTGTCAGGTAGTGTAGTCCACACGCTTCAGTAACAGCACATATAAACTCGCTGTACTCTACACACTCCAATACCAACACAATTATTCAAACTCTCCAATAACACAAACAGAGATCTGCGATGATTGTATAGCAAAGCATGAGGAGACACACTTCCTGCAGCACAGGAAATGAGGAGTAATCACACACACTGACAGATCTCCACAGCAGACACACACACACACACACACACACACACACACTCTTCTACAAAACAAAAGACCACGACCTTCATAAATGCAGCATGTGGATCGAACTTCCTGTGCGTTTGATCAGTATTTCCTGTTTGAGAGATCAGAGCAGCTTCTATAATACAGTGAATCTGTAAAATCGGCATTTTCATGAACATCATATTTCAGCCCATATCAAAACAGAAGAAACTGACAATAAAACTAAGCCTGAGAGCACCAGGATCATGTACAGATTATTTTCATTATTACGCGCATTCATGGAAAATCATTCATCAGTATGGAAGATTCAGTTCAGGCTTGCTTTTTAATAAAGCAGCCTAAATGAAGTGCATTCGCCCAGCCATACCACCCTGCAGCCCAAGAGCGGCTACTCACTGAAGCTAAGCAGGGCTGAGCCTGGTCAGTGCCTGGATAGGAGACCACATGGGAACACTAGGTTGCTGTTACAAGAGGTGTTAGAGAGGCCAGCAGGGGGCGCTCAACCTGTGGTCTGTGTGAGCCTAAAGGCTAATTTATACTTCTGCGTCAAACGCCAGAGTATGCTACGGTGCTGACGCATAGCCCTTCGCCGTGGCCGTCGACGTCGCTGACGTGCACCTCTCAAAAATTGTAACTACACGTCACAACGATGCGTAGTGCAAGCTCTGTGATTGGTCGGCTTGGTAGCGCTGACGAGTCTGGGCGGGACCGAGAGCCGCGTGAATGGTACGTGCAATTGTTTACAAGTGTGGAGTCCCGTGAAGGAGCTCCGGATGGAAAGTTTTGTTTTGTGTTTACCTCATAGTTAAAGTTGTTGCACGTCCGCCGGTTCCTGCCTCAAAATGAGCGAGTTTGAGCCACTTGTACATCCAGGAAGCGTTCAGGAAAAGCAAAACAGCAGCGAAGAAAACTCGACACAGAGGGGCATTAACACTTTGGAAAGCTAGTTGAGTTGAGTTTCTATATACAGACCAACAGAGACAGCGCGCAGAAGATAAATGAACAGCTACGCGCGTTGCATGCGCAGTGGGTTACGCCGGTCACCTGACGCAGAAGTATAAACCAGGCTTAATGCCCCAAGCAGGTATGAAAGCACCCTTAAGCCTGTAGCTGTGCATTTATACTTCTGCGTGCTGTCTCTGTTGGTCTGCATTAACACTTCCGAAACGCTAGTGGGCAGTGAGGTGTAAATGTGTTTCTGTGTCGAGTTTCTTCGCTGCTGTTTTGCTTTTCCTGAACACTTCCGGGATGTGCAAGTGGCTCAAACTCGCTCATTTTGAGGCAGGAACCGGCGGACGTGCAACAACTTTGACTATGAGGTAAACACAAAACAAAACTTTCCATCCGGAGCTCCTTCACAGGACTCCACACTTGTAAACAATCGCTCGTACCATTCACGCGGCTCTCGGTCCCGCCCAGACTCGTCAGCGCTACCAAGCCGACCAATCACAGAGCTTGCGCTAAGCGTCGTTGCGACGTGTAGTTACATTTTTTGAAAGGTGCACGTCAGCGACGCCGACGGCCACGACGAAGGGCTTTGCGCCAGCGCCGTAGCATACGCCGGCGTTTGACGCAGAAGTATAAATCAGCCTTTAAGCACACTATGGGTGTGCTTTTTCTCAAAGCAACTTGATTGGTAGAATTTTTTCTTTCCCCAATTTGATTGCATTTTAAATGTTGGTCAAGACTAGGGGTGTCAAAATGAATTGTTTTTTCGGTGCACCGCGATGCAGATGCAGACAATTCGGTATCGGTTCAGTAATAATCATAACCGGTTATTATGTCCAGGATTGGCCAGCCCAGTCACCACACATGAACATTATTGAGCATGTCTGGGGTAAGATGAAAGAGGAGGCGTTGAAGATGAATCTTGATGAACTCTAGGAGTCCTGCAAGAACGCTTTCTTTGCAGTTCTAATAAGATATCTTATCACTTTTTATAACTTTAATTAGTAATATTTACCTCCAAGAACTACATTTAGACAACTTTAAAGATGTTTATCTCAGTATTTTGAATTAAACACTCAAATTTCAGGTTGTCGAATGGTTAATCTCTGCCAAACATTGTCATATGCTAAAAAGCATAAGCTTATTCATATTATAAGCCTATTTATTCAGGTGATTTATAAATCTCATTCTCATAAAAGTGACACTTATGACTAGTTTTGTGGTCCAGGATCACACTTTATAGTGAAATATGAACCAGATGTAAGATTCGCATTCCTAATGGACCAGGCAGACACCATGGCGCTCTTACAAACACATTACAATGCTGTTTATTGTAGAGAAATAAGTACATTTACTTCTGTAGTTATTCAATGTAAAAAGACAAAAATAGATCTAATAGCTTTGTTTTCACCAGTGAGGAACTGAATTACCTGATATTACTACTGTTACACATCTGAAGCCCTTTAACGTGTGTGTATGTCTGTGTGTGTGAACGTCAGAGTCGTATCTCTTTTTTTATAATGTCAAATGGCTCTGCTAATCTAAATGTGTGCGTGTTCTCTTGCGCCACACGGAGCTCGGATCACGTCCTCCATGTGCTTCACCCTGAGTCGATTACATGTGTCCTGCATCACTTACTGAAGCGTACATCCCATAATAATCCAACAAGAAATGCTTCTCAGTTCCTCTCAATCTGCTCGATATCCAGTTCTCCGCCCAGCTGGAATAAGTCCCGGCCCCTTCTGCTACAAAGCCCCGCCCACAAGCATTCGCGCTCCTTTCCTGCGGGCCTGCTGCTTTCTGATTGGTGGATGAGGGCGTCCGCTGAGCTGCTATCTGATTGGTGGATGAGGGCGTCCTCTGAGCTGCTCTCTGATTGGTGGATGGGGGCATCCGCTGAGCTGTCATTCTGAGCACGCTCACATGTGTCGTTGAGGAGTGCCGGGCTGCTGGACGGCAGAGTTTTGTCGTCGCCGCTGAATCCTGGACAGCTGAGACTGTGAAAATCCTGCAGCTTCTGTTGGGAAAAATCAACAGAAAAATCTACTTTATTTCTTTAGTAGTTGAAATTGATAGATGGATAGAAGGATAGACAGACTGACAGATAGATAGATATAATGATAGACCGATATATCGATCAGTACAAAGATAGATCAATACACAATAGATATATAGAGTGATATAACGATTGATCAATACAACAATACATATATAGAATGATAGATATATAGAACGACATAATGATAGATCGATACAACAATAGATATAAAAATGATATAACGATAGATTGATACCACGATATATATATAGAACGACATAGTGATAGATCGATACAATGATATATATATATATATATATATATATATATATATATATATATATATATATATATATATATAGAACGATATATAAAGAATGAGATAACGAAAGATCGATACAACGATAGATATATAAAACCATAGCTATATAGAATGACATAACGACTCGATAGATATATAGAATGACAATGATAGATCGATACAACAATAGATATAAAGAATTATATAACAATAGATCGATACAACAAAAGATATATAAAATGATAGATATATAGAACAATATTATGATAGATCAATACAACGATAGATATATAGAATGACATGATAGCTTGATACAACAATAGATATAAATGATATAATGACAGATTGAGACAATATTAGATTTATAAAACGATATAGAAAGATATAACAATAGATCGATACAACGATAAGATGTATAGAACGATAGATCGATATAACGATAGATCGATATAACAATAGATATATAGAACAATATAACAAAAGATCGATACAATGATAAGATATATAGAATGATATTGCGATAGATCGATACAAGGATAGATATATAAAATGATAAATATAGAACGATATAACAATAGATCGATACAATGATAAATGTACAGAACAATAGATATATAGAATTAAATAACAATGGATTAATCTGATAGATATACAGAATGATAGATATATTGAACGATATTATGATAGATCGATACGAAAGATATATAGAACGATGTAACGATAGATTGAAACTATGATAGATATAAAGAATGATAGCATGATAGATACAATGATAGATATATACTGTAGAAAGATAACGATATAGATACAACGATAGATATAAAGAATGATAGAATGATAGATTGATACAATGATAGATATAGAATGATAAATATAAAAAATTATATAACAATAGATCGATACAACGATAGATATATAGAACAATATAACGATAGATCAATACAATATTAAGATATACAGAATGATATAGAATGATAGATATATAGAATGATATAACGATAGATCGATACGTTAGATATATAGAACAATATAACGATAGATTGACACATTGATAGATATAGTGATAGAACAATAGATCAATAGAATGATAGATATATAAAACAATATAACGACAGATTGATACAATGATAGATATACAGAACAATATATATATAGAACGCTATAATGATAGATCGATACGATATATATATATATATATATATAAAACGATTGATCGATATAATGTAGAACAATATATATATAGAACGACATGGTAGATCGATACAACGACATATATAACGATCGATACAATGATAGATATATAGAACAATATAACGATAGATCGATACAATGATAGATATATAGAACAATACATTTATAGAACGACATGGTAGATCGATACAACGATAGATATATATATAACGGTGGATCGATACAATGATAGATATATAGAATATATATATATATATATATATAGAACGACAAGGTAGATCGATACACCGATAGATATATATAACGATAGATCGATACAATGATAGATATATAGAATATATATATATATATATATATATATATATATATATATAGAACGACATGGTAGATCGATACAATGATAGATATATATAACGATAGATCGATACAATGATAGATACAGAACAAAAGATATATAGAACGATATAACGATAGATCGATACAACAATAAATATATAGAACGATATAAAGATAGATTGATACAACGATAGATATAAAGAATTATATAACGATAGAGCGATACAATGATTTAACAATAGGTATAACGATAGATGAACGGATGATATTGTGTTCCCAGATGTTTAAGGAATGGGTTAAACTAATTTATTTCACAAGCAATTTAAGGGGACCTATTATGCCCCATTTTACAAGTTATAAAATAAGCCTCTGATGTCTCTGTGTAGTGAATTTTCAGCTCAAAATACCACAGAGATTTTATTAGATTAGTGGTGTATTGGCTGTATAAATGTCTATTTATATATAGGCCTAATGTGAATCCTCAAATGTCTGTGCGAGTGTATGCTGCAAATATAACCTCCCTACGAGGATAAACAATCTTGAACTTGATGTAATTGTATTTACAGGTTTTATGTATTTCTGTTTTATATGATTATTAGTTTGTCTACAACCATGTAGACACAAGGATAATGTTCCTTTATATGTAAACAATAAAAAAAGATGAACAAAAATTATGAACTTTTCGACCATGCAACCTGCCAAAAACTGCTATTATGCAATGTAAATGTTACGCCAGCAGCTTTAACCTCGGCTAGATGCTAGTGAGGTATTAAACATTGCTGGTTTACAGTTAGAACAAATATGCATTTAAAGGGATAGATAACACAAACAATAATAAAATATTTACTCATCCTATATTTGATGGTTACAAGTTTACAACATTCTTCAAAATATCTTCTTTTGTGTTCAACAGAACAAAAGACTCAGTATGGTATGAAACAAGGAAATGGTGAGTAAATTTTAATTCTAGGTTAAACTATCCCTTCAAAAATGCATAAATATAACAATCAATAAGGATCAAGACCCCAATAAAGACTAAATGGCCAATCAGAGCAAGCAAAAAAATCACATGTCTAATGCTTCACCACTGACTGACGTGTTATATGAGTGGTCAGGCCTCATTTCCAAGGCAACAGAGTATTTGGTTTGTAAATGGAGCCGTTTTTTCCACTGACAATGATCAACATTGTGTGTGTTTATTGTTTGCTGTAGTCACTCTCACACACACACACACACACACACACACACACACACACACACACACACACACATATACACACACATATACACACACATATACACACACATATACACACACATACACACACACATACACATACATACACGCACACTAATGGTTTAGTTCTCATTCCAGGAATCAGTGTGTTAACCAGATGAGGGTGATCCTCTCAGAGATGTGCAGAACATCACAGGACACTTCAAGTAAATACAGGGTTTAATTCAGCAGAGACAGAAACACCCGCACCCCCAAAAATTTTAGGAAAAATGTATTAGGTATATTTAGTGGTATAATTCCTGATGTTCTGTTAAAATATGAAAATGTTATTTAAGAATATAACCTTCAGAATGAACATCCAGATGCTTTTATTTATTTAATCTTGTTATATTTTTGGCCAAATATTTCATACACAAGTGTACATTTTGTAAGCGTAAACCTTTTTTTTTCAGATTTTTCTTGAAGATCTCAATCTTTAAATGTCTTTGATTTCTGAATGTACTAACAAGAAAGCTGTAAAAACTTAAATCAATATGCTGAGAGAAGTATTTCAAGTCGAGAGCGCATTCATGTATTACGAGCGAGCCATCTCTTTGTTTTGCGCCGATTTCCTCTGTTCGTGGACAACACTACCCGCGAGCTCTCAAATGTACGCTGCTCACGTGCAAATACAGTCCCTTAAAAGTGATGTTGCGTCTTCAGTTTTGGGCTCAGGCGTGCTTTGCATTTTGCATTAAACAGATTTGGAACACTCACACTTGTCAAACAAACCAGGAAATTTGCCACGGCACGTATATGGACAGCATAGTGTGAGTGCACCCTCAGAAGCATAACTGAAAGCCTCCATCCTCCAGGTACAGTTTCTGGAGCAGTTGATTAACTCACAGAGCTAGGTGCACCTCTGAAAGAATCTAGAGAACTGCGCCAAATGAATATACTGTTTTTCAGCCTACCTGGAGCACAAAGCACAGTTATTCTCTTAATAAAATCCATGTTAGCCATTTAGCAATGAACCTAGAGCAGGGGTGTCAAACTCAATTCCTGGAGGGCCGAAGCCCTGCACAGTTTAGTTCCAACCATGCTCCAACACACTTACCTGTAGGTTTCAAACAAGCCTGAAGGACTCAATTAGTTTGATCAGGTGTGTTTAATCAGGGTTGGAACTAAACTGTGCAGAGCTGCGGCCCTTTTAGAATTGAGTTTGACACCTGTGGCCTAGAGTCACCGTGCAGTAGGGCTGCTCAATTTTGGGAAAAATCATAATCACGATTATTTTGGTCATAATTGTAATCACGATTATTCCAAACGAACATTAGTTGAAGTCAAAATTATTAGCGCTCGTGAGAATTTTTTTTAAATAAATATTTCCCAAATGATGTTTAACAGAGCAAGGAATTTTAACAGTATTTCCTCGAATATTTTTCTTCTGGAGAAAGGCTTATTTGTTTTGTTTTGGCTAGAATAAAAGCAAATTTAAATATTTTGAAACCTCTTTTAAGGTCAATATTATTAGCCCCTTTAGGCAATATATATTTTTGATTATCTGCAGAATAAAATACTGTTATATTATGACTTGCCTAATTACCCTAATTAAGCTTTTGAATCACACTTTGAATTTGAATGTTTGTATTTAAAAAAAAAAATCTACTAAAATATTATGAGCTGTCATCATAGCAAAGATAAAATTAATCGGTTATTAGAAATGAATGACTAAAACTATTATGTTCAGAAATCTTCTTTCCATTAAACAAAAATTAGGGGAAAAGGTTGCTAATATTCAGGAGGGCTAATAATTCTGACTTCAACTGCATATATTATTTTCCTCCCTGCAAAAGAAAAGAGAAATAAATACAATAGAATAAAAATATGAAACAAAATCTTCACCGTAAGAAAAACACTTTAGCCAGAAAAGTCTTAAGTCAAGAGCAGAGAGGGATTTTCTCGTTGTTTTATTAATCATGATAAAACAGGCGGCAGCTGTGCTCATTCACTTTAATGGTTTTGCTTTCACGTGTCTTTTGATTCTCAACTTGTTTGTTTATTACAAAATGAGGGTTAATATAAATAATCACTAAACGCCGCGTTTTGACACCTATTTGAACATTAAAGCGCTCACGTTAATGACTTTAGATGTGTGTGCTCTCTGCTCGTCACAATGTGCGAATGAGACCAAGTGCAGACCGCATGTTTCTGACTGTCTACGCGCCGCACACAAATAAGCATGCGGTCTTTCGCGCTTTTAAGAGCAACAAGTGAGGACAACTGGACAGGGGGCGGTAAATAATGGAATTATCGTTTATCTCGATTAATGGTTTTTCATAATCGTTAGAAGCCATAATCGAAATCGAATTTTCGATTAATTGCACAGCCCTACCATGCAGACAGATGCCCTGCCCATGACGTAAATATGCGTCTATTGTAAAGTGAATTTGAGGTGCAAACCAACTGAATACTCACTAAAACTGTTCACGTGTCTATCTACATGCTATATAGCACAATCCGTACCTGGTGTGATCACCCATTTAGAGTATCTCTGGCCCAAAAATAGCATGGGCCCTTAGAATTGTTCTAACTCCACAGCAGGCGTGGCCAACCCTGTTCCTGGAGAGCCACCTTCCTGCAGATTTCAGTTGCGACCCATATGAAACACACCTGAACCAATTAATTAGTACCTGAACACCACCTGATAATTACAGGCAGGTGTGTTTGATATGGGTAGCAACTGAAATCTGCAGGAAGGTAGATCTCCAGGAACAGGGTTGGCCACCCCTGCTCCACAGTGTACATCCACAGTGTACATCAGGGGTGTCCAAACTTGGTTCTGGAGGGCCGGTGTCTTGCAGATTTTAGCTCCAACTTGCCTCAGCACACCTGCAAGGATGATTAGAAAGCCTAGTAAGAGCTTGATTAGCTAGCCCAGGTGTGTCTGATTGGGGTTGGAACTCAACTTTGCAGGACACCGGCCCTCCAGGACCGAGTTTGGACATGCCTAGTGTACATGCACACATACTGACATATTAGAATATACCAAGAAAGCTATTCATCAGAGATAGTCAAAAGGACACTGAAATGAATAGAGGGAAAGTCATTTTCCTTGTGTAATGTTTACCTGTGTCATCTTGAGCAGGTCCAGCGAGGGCCTCTGTTTGTGCGAGTCGGCCGGTCTCCTGCGCTTGACGCCGATCTTCTGATGGTTGTGTACGCAGGGCTGTGATCGGCTGCGTGCGAGTCCGCTCTGCCCGCTGCGGCGCTGGAGCTCTGGGGTGGATTCAGGGGAGCTGGCCTCCGCCGGGCAGATCTGCTCATGTGAACGGTACAGCGTCTGCGGCGTCTGCGGACACTCGGAGAATGCCTGGAATGGGAAACCGTGAGTGAAGGGCTCCAGATGACTGCTGTGCGCCGGCAGACTGAAGCTGGAGCTGCGCTGCATTGCAGGAAAGCCTGATGGATTGAAGACTCCTCTCTGGACGCTCCCTCCACTGTGGCAGCGCCGCTTTTCCACCGTTGTCCAGACGCGCGAACCCTGCGGACGCCAGGATGAGCGGCAGCCCAGCTCATCCGAGCAGGACAGCGAGCGGCACTGGCGTTTGCTGGGCGGCGCAGCACTGGCAGGAGACGCTTCGCTCAGACTCAGATCCCGCAGTAACCCGCTGATGCCGCCAGTGGCGCCCGCCTCACGCATGCTGTCCCACAGGCTCTCCAGACTGGAGCCCACAGGCCGCTGCTGGACGCCACACACACTCCCAACATCTGCCCAGCGCCCAGAGTCTGCAACACAGCGGAGAGAGGATATCAGATACAGGATACAACATGATGAATCACATGATGGTTCAGGTCTTATTTGGAAGGCCGAACTTTCTCTGTGTGATTGTGAGTCCTCCTGTGCTCCACTAGCTTATGGAGTTCCACAGGGTTCTATTCTGGGCCCTATATTGTTCTCTCTATATCTGCTTCCACTTGGTTCGATTCCCAGGAGACACGGCATCTCCTTTCACTGTTGACTGTCAGATTTATGTTCCCCTTAAAAGAACAGATGACCTTCCGCTAAATGCACTGGACTCATGTTTAAAGGACATTAAGTCTTGGATGGCACTGAATTTTCTCCATTTTAATTATTCTAAGACTGAAGTGATGGTGTTTGGCCCCAGTTCCAACGTCGCTCATTCTGTACAACTAAATAATCTCGAAACTTTTTGTAAGCCAGAGATTGTGAACTTGGGTTTTAAAATGGATCCTGAACTAAAGCTTGAAAGCCAAATTCGGTCTGTTGTTCGCTCTAGCTTCTTTCACTTACGACAGCTGGCCAAAATTAGGCGTTACGTTTACGTTTGCTGCAATTACGTTTAATTGCACAAACAGTGATCCATGCTTTTAAAACCTCCCGCTAGGACTACTGTAATGCCCTTTATTTTGGGGTGAGTCAGTCTTTGATCTCTCGACTGGTTCAGAATGCAGCTGCACGTCTTTAAACTGGCACACGCAAATACGAGTACATCACCGCGATTTTATCTTCTCTTCACTGGCTGTCTGTGCACTTCAGGATCCATTTTAAGGTACTTTTATTTGTTTTTAAGTGTCTGAATGGTGCTGCACCCCTTTACCTCTCTGAGCTTCTCTGTCCCTACACACCTTATCGTTCGCTCAGGTCAGCCGACCAGCTCCTTGGGTGTGCCCAGGACTAGTCGAAAGCTCAGAGGGGATCGGGCTTTTGCTGTGGCTGCACCAAAATTGTGGAATAAGCTACCGTTTTACATTAGACAAGCCTCTTCCATCACTGTTTTTAAATCCCTTCTTTAAACCCACATGTTCAATTTGGCTTTTAGCACAGCTTGAGATGTTGACATTTTATGTTTATTTATTTGTATTTTAAAGTTTGTTTTATTTTTTGTTGTCAGCACTTTGGTCAACTGTGTTGTTTTAAAGTGCTTTATAAATAAATTTAATTGAATCAACTAAAATCATGTCTCACTGCAAATATCTGAATAGTTAAAGGTGCTTTATTTCAGTTTTATACTTCTAAAGTATAAAAACGCTATAATATTTTTGTAGATATTTCAGAAACATGCTCAGTGAACATTCTTACTTATCTGAGAAACAACGCTGAAGTCAGATATTCTGCTTTTAACATGTGTGTTACGTGCTAGAACGTCTGTCTTTGTTTTGGTCCCTTAAACCCGCCCACTGCCAATTTAGCCTATTATATTTATATATAACCCCGGGTTGCCTTGGTGCAAAACCGCATATTTCATTCAGTCTGTCAGGAATGTTCTCAAAGCGAACGGAAATGCAACCTCCAGTGGATGTTAACAGACTCTGAAATGAGACGCAGATTCAGAGTTCCATATGAAGTGGTTATTAATTAGCAAATAATATAAATATTAGGATTGTAAACATTAGCTGAGCAGGTTACACTATAACCCTGTATTCTATAACACGCTACATGACGAGATTTGCAGTGATTAAAACCAGATTTGCAGCAATTTTGTTGTTTGCACCAGACAAAGCAGAAAATACAGCCATTCAGAAGCACAGACTAGTGCACTCACTGAACTCCAACATAAGGGCCTACTCACACTTTGCTATCCAAACTGTGCCCAGGCCCGTTTAACTGATCGTTTAAGAAGTGTAAGTGCGCTAAATCGGGCTCAGGCAAGGTTCACTTGGCTGGCCCTGGCCCGGTTGGAAGAGGTGTGCCTGAGCGCGGTTCACTTGGGCTTTGGCGCGGTGCGCTTGTAGTGCAAAACAAGCCTTAGCCCGAAACTGAAATCGAGTCGTGACTTTTAAGGGGCTGTTTCATATGGATTTATTAATAATTCTTACTGTTCAGTGAACGCAAACTGCCGTAGTTTATTAAAGACGCAAACCCCTCACTGCATGACGGCTGCACCTGCAGCAAACCTCCTAATTCCTGCAGCACGAGGACTTCAAAAGTGGCTGATCTGTTCGGCGAAAAATTTGACTGTCTCACTGCATATCAAACGGCTTAGAAGAGGGGTTCTCAACTGGTTTGGCCATGGGACCCACATTTTCACATGGTCATCAAGCCGCGACCCAAATTTTTAGGAACTATAATACAATTTTAGAATATATAATTCATTTGTATTTAATTGTTAACATACACAACTAGTGACAGATAAATTATAAGAAAATCACCAAGACTTACAAATAAACAATATTTTACTGCTGTCATTTAAGAAAATGTATCAAATTATAGAAATATTACAAAGTTAAAACAACAAATACTGCAAACAGTGGTTAGGGTAAGGAAAAGTTAAGTTACCATTAACTAAACTCAACTGTTTATAAAACATTAACACTGATCTGGCTGAACTGAACAGAAACCAGCAAACTGAAGTAAAATTATTAAAATAATCATAACCATTTTATAATATTCACCAGTTATTTGCTGTTCTGCTTTTGTGTGGGCTTTCTTGGTCTTTTTTCAAAAAAAAAAAAAAAAAAAAATTTTCAAAAAAAATTTTTTTTCTCCATTTTATACGGCTCCTTTTACAGCATCGATGTTGTAATGTCATTAAAATACATTCAGTTAAATAAACTTTGGCATTTATTTAGTTGCTCAAGCGTAAAAAAAGACAAAAAACAGCTTACTCGCACGCGCCAGTCAAAATCGGCAGGCTAACGTTAGCGCAAAAGCTCCATTGAATATACTGGGGTAAAATAAATGCTCATATTATAAAGACATGGCGGGGGGAAATGTAATTTAATGCAGAGCTTCTTGTACAATCTGAGACCCACTTTATATTGGATATCACTCAGCTAGTGGAGATCACTGATTTTTAAAGAAAACAGACCTTAAACGCGCCATTTTTTGCATTGCATACAGTTCGCCGAAAGTGCTTAACCCAGGTTACTGGCAAATTAAAAGTCCCGTACGGTTGTCACACGCGCATTTCAAAATAAAAGTTTGATATAAGCAATATTAAACTTGTTGTTTTTTGATCACACACTCCGCGACCCACTGAAAATGTTCCCGCGACCCACTTTTGGGTCGTGACCCACCAGTTGAGAAACACGGGCTTAGACGATATAACTAAAGAAATCTTCACTGTTATCTACGAAAGCACTTACTGAACAGCGCAGCATCAATGACGTAAGCGTGCCCAGGCCCGAATGTAATGTGAGTGCGGGCCGTTGGGGGAGACAGAAGGGAGGACAAGTGTGCTTTGGTCCGATTCAAAGCAACTGTACATAGTGGGAGTACGCCCTAAGGAGGATAATATTTTCCTCACGCATGCATATATATATATTTTTGTTTGTTAGTTCGATTAATGTTGATTTCAAATGCAATAAATCTGTTTGTATAAAACTTGTAGTAACGGTGCTTATAATTGGTGGGTGCGACTAAATTTTTGCTGATGCGCCTACATTTTTAAAGTTAGGAGCACCGGTGCTACCAAGCAAAAAGGTTAATTTCAAGCCCTGACACAGGCTTGCAAACCTACCTAAAGTTACAAACAATGTCGCCGATGAGAGCGATCATGTGGTAAATGTTGATCCGCCAGCCGAGATCAATCAAGTGTTTCTTGAGAGAGTGCTGAAAGACTCGGTGGACCAGCTGTTTTTAATAGCCTGAATCTGGATAAGTTGCATGCATTGAAATGGCTGTTAAATGTAAAATCTCTGGTACTTATTCACAAGATGATGAAGGCTCTTGTGTTGAGCCCAATGAGCCTTACATACAAAAACAGAGCAAGGGCGATTCTTTGGTGACATCGCTTTGACTCACACGCTGAAAATGGCGGATGTGAAACAACAAACTGAGGATGTGGTAATGCACGCATGTCAATCAATATTGGTGGGCGGGGGGACCGCACTCTTTCGTCAAGTTGCAGTCGGTCTCAAAACCGATCTAATTGGTCCACTGTTTTTATGTTGTTAAATTGAAAAAAAAAGGACTGTGTGCGTATATATCACCCCAATATGACGGTCTATACACTATATATACACTAGGGATGGGAAGATTAACCGATATGTATCGATACGCGGTCATGCGCGTGCTCGATGCGAGTGCATCGGTAGAGCAGCAGAGGATGAATGAAATTTTGGAAGCAAATCGAGATGCATCGGTTTTTGCGAGATGCATCGGTTTTTCCAAGATACAGCTTATATTTTTAACATAGAATGTATTTTTTATTTATTAACAAGAGTTGTCAACCTGTTTTTGGCGCATAATTTAATCGACCTACATAAAGTATGCCTTAGCAACGGATTTGCGGATGTGTACACTTACACTACAACTCAGTGTATCAGGTGTGCGGATGAAGCTAGTGGTGCGCCCTCAGAAAGCGCGAGAAGCAAAACAAACATTTTATTCCCCACTGAGTTTTAAATCTAAAGTATGGCAACATTATGGATTTAAGGATGGACGACATGACAGGACAGATGCAATTTGCAAAATGTGCCGCGCATCTGTGTGTTTTCCATGCGCAACAGTTTTGTGCGCTCTACGCCAATAACGAATGCTGTTGCATTGTTCATCTGCAAAGATATTCAGCCTAGTGTCACGGAGAACGAAGGTTTTAAACACCTCCTCCTGTTAATTTTTATTTAATCATAATAATTATAATATTAATAATAATAATGATAAAAATAATGGGTGTCACGGTGGCACAGTGGGTAGTTTGACCACCTCACAGCAAGAAGATTGCTGGTTTGTTATATTTTTATTAGCCTGTTGTTTACAGTGACAGTGATGTTTGAAAGCAGCATAACACTGCTAGTTCACCACCTTAAGTTTTGAATATTCA